GGAAATTTTTTAAAAAAGTATTTAAAATAAAAGAAACGGTAGCAATGCACTGTAAATTTCATATATGATTTGCAAAAAATAAATTTTTAAATCTAGTCTTCAAAATCCAAACCCTATCTGAGCTAAGTGCGCTACCAACTGAGCTACGGGGCTGAAGGGCTCTTGATCAAAGGAAATGGAGAAACTCCCTATTCCTAGGATCAGACCTAATTCCCATGCACTCTCCAGGCGCTGCTTGTCTGCAGGAGCTCAGTGCGTCGCAATATTCTACCCAACTCCGCTTCTTTGATCGAGATTTGGTCTTCAGCACGACTTTCATGACCATGAAGCAAGGATGATGGCGTTGTTTTTTTAACAGGAGCTACTGAGAATACCACCACATCATTACTTCTAAATGAGAAAAGATACATTGTAAATACATCGCAGATTTCACACATTAATGATTTTTGGATAGAAGAGTGAGTGACTGGTAGGCGGGCAACACAAAGTTGGCATATTGGACAGTATTAGTACAGAAATAACTCGCACATAGGAGAGCGAAAAGCTTATGACGACGTTTCGGTCCGTCTTGGACCATTCGCAAGTCACACTGACAGAAAGGAGTTCATGTTCACGTAGGTTTGCCAGGACGGGTCCTGACTCAGGTCTTCTCTATGGGGTGACCCGGCAGTGGATCACCAAAGGAGTGTCAGAGTGGGTACAAGTGATGTACCGTTTACAGCCTACGACAGGGGCATCCCTATGACAAAGGTACGGTGAGTCTTCTGCAGGTGTAGTGGAGTACCGCTTATAGGCCTATGGCGGGGACAGCCCTATGACAAGGGCAAGGTGACTTTCAACTCCAATTGTGCCATTCCTGACACTCAAGCCGCAGCCCGAGTGCCAGAAACGACTCAGGAGATTCTCTGGAGGTATGTTCAACACCTGACGTCTGACAAGAGTAGTGTCCGAGGCAGAAGGGAGTGAACGAGCCAGTGTATATACAGGCGAGGAGGACTGGGACGGGAGAAAGAGAGGAGGAACAAGAAGTAGTGGTAGTGGTAAGACTGGTAGTGGTAGTAGTAGTGGTAAGACTGGTAGTGGTATGTAGAAAGTAGAGGGATTAGTTTATGCCACAAGAGGTAGACAGGGGAGCGAAGGGGAGGGGGCAATAGTAGTGGTAGTAATAGTGGTAGAAAAGGTAGAGGGTAGAAGCAGTAATGGTAGTAAAGAAGTGGTAGAAAGTAGTAGTAGTCGTGGAAGTGGGGTGAATCTAAGGACAAGAAAAACATTACTGCAGGACAGCTTAGGTCCCATAAGGGGGTGGGACCACAAACACAGAGGGAGGGGGGACTCTGAAGGACAGAACACACTAGGCAGAAGAAAAGAAAAACACAGAAAGAAATTGAAAAAAAAAATGGAAAGACCAAGAGGTAGGGAAGAAGAAAGGATTATGTTAGATCGCGAGTGTTTTGAAGTTTGGAGCATTTGACAATGTAAGGAGAAAGGAAGATATCTACAGTACAGACACAAAAACAGGCCAAAGGTGCTTCAACAAGACGACGGCTGTGAAGGCTAGAAGTAGGATAGGACAGTTTTGGCAGAGGACCAGTCAATAGGATGACTGTGATCTCTAACATGACAGAAAAGAGCATTATTAGTGTCAACAAGTCTAACACTTTTTCTGTGCTCCTTAAGTCTGTCAGAAAGAGAGCGGCCAGTTTCTCCAAAGTATTGTAGCGGACAAGAAGAGCCTACTGTGTAGGCGAAATGTTTCGGAATGAAGTTGCGTAACTGTTGCTTATGTGTCTTATATATCAACCTGTTGGTATCGTATAACATTTTTGATAAAAAAAGTTATATTCGCAGATCCTTTCGTTATTGTATCATCTTCAACAGAACCATTAGACGGATATCCCCAGTCAAACTAGACAAGTTCTATTACAACCGGCAGAACGGAAATCGGGGAACGCTAATGTATTATCCTTATTCTTATATTACTAGGAATATTAAAGGTAATAGATTTGTGATCACTTGTATCAAGCTCTTCGGTGTTCTCGAAATTATTCTGGAAGGTTTCCTTATTTGATAAAACCAGGTCTAGCAGATTATTATCCCTGGTATGTTCTGTAACAAACTGCAAAAAAAAAAAAACAGTTAGGAACTACTACCGCGAAGTCATTGGACTCCAAATATCTGGTCAAAGTGGTCCAGTCTATTTGATTCAAGTTAAAATCCCTTACTTTTACTACATTATCATGTCTGAAAGCTCTAACAATTTCGTTCCAAAGTAGTTTTCCCCCTGTCACTATCTAAGGTAGAGGGCCGGTATATAGCACCTAATATAAATTTTTCTTGTTCTAGAAATTCTACCCAGATAGATTCTGTATCTAATCCACCAGATTTTTTATACCCGTTTTTATGCAACAATTTATGTTATCTCGGAAACATAATACTTCCCCACCCACCTTCCCATTATTTCTATCAACATAGAACAGCTTAAATCCTTGAATGTGGCAATCATGTCGTGTTACGTCCCTTACAGGGGATCCAAGGGGTATTTGTTATTATATGTACATATTATTTTCACTTGATGTTGTACGTATTGTCCACATTTTCTAGTATAACTAAAATGAAGTTATCTTGCTTTATATTATTATCTGACCTTATATTTTTAACTATGTATATAGGTACGATGTGTTTTATTGAATTAAGTCGGAACTGCTGTGCTAATTACTATAAAATAATTAATCAATCGGTCTTTCTGGTAGGTGTCCCATGAACCGAGTTGTCTGGCTTAGGCGTTGTCTGAGTGGTACCAGTACCCTAGCCTAACTTCTCCTAGGCCTATTCCCTGAAACATCTCGTTGCCTGAGTGAGTACCAGCCTACCTCTAGCCTTGCAAAACATCTCGTTGCCTGAGTGAGTACCACCCTACCCTACCTTCAACATCTGGGCCTATGAACAACCATGCAACTTCGTTGCCTGAGTGAGTACCAGCCTACCTCTAGCCTTGCAAACATCTCGTTGCCTGAGTGAGTACCAACCTACCTCTAGCCTTGCAAACATCTCGTTGCCTGAGTGAATACCAGCCTACCTCTAGCCTTGCAAACATCTTCTCGAAGTTTGATTAGACTCAAGTTTTGGATAACAGAGGGTTCCGTTGGTGAGATGGAACCTCTTTCTCGCTACACTGAGTATCAGTGAAGGACAGAGTTAGTTCTGGACTTAGAGATTTTGATATCTACTAAGACTGCCAGTTTTTCTGAAGTTATGAAGTCAATCAGTGGATTTAAGTGTGACCTCTACGCATTACCATAGTCTTGATTTGAAATGAACCGGACTTATATTCGGTAAGAAAGGAGTATTAGGACTCCTATAATCTATTGAAGATCTCAGCTGTGTGTTTTGTTCCTGCTTCGTTAAGATCACTTGTTATGTTTTGATAAATGTCTCTATCTCTAGGTTAGCTTCTTACTTGGTGGATTATCGTACTCGAAGCCAGTGATTATTCGAGGACGGATGTACAATTTAACCTTATACGTATTTAGAGTCAACCTATAGTGAGACATTTCAGTGATTGAAACCCCTGGATATATGTGTATATATGGTTAATTACGACTCGTGATAATGGAAATGTCACTTTAAGTAAATGTTCATAAATTGTATTATAAACCTATAGCCTTTAGTATTATTGTACTTAAAAGTACCATTCTGTATTTTTGAACAAGAGAGTATTTGTTACTTCTTATAAGACACGTTAATATTAAAGATATTAAATTATTATTTTGTCGGATTGTCTCCTGGTTATAATTTACAAAAAGTGTATCAAGTCTTCTACACCCAAGATAACCAGTCGTGAAGGTGATCCAACACCTTGTTAGCAAAGAGAAGATATTCACAGGCTACATACGTAGGGTGATTTATCCCAAACTTCCCGGAGTTCTCCACTCGCTTCTGTTCTGTAACCCAACAAGACACATTACTTCTCTTTGTGTAAGGTGTCCCAACTCATAAAATTATACCATGTTTCAGTTACTGC